TATTATATATATATATATACAATATTAAAATTAATTTATTTAAATTTATTTAGTTTTTCAGCACATTAATCTTAATATGATGCTTTATTAAAAATTGCTTGTCAATTTAATTTGTAATATTATTGCGATAGCTTAATTGTGTTTATAAGTCCAAAAAAACTGGTGCGCAGTTGGCTACAAATATGATATATATGCATGACTTATATATATTTTATTATATTAAATTATTTAAAGCATTAAAGATCCAGCTTTGACAGGTATAGGTATTTAATTCCTAGTTCGTATTGATTGTGTTCTCATATGTATGGTCTAAAATAAAATTCTAATTACTGTTAATATTAAAATAATTAAACTTTACAGATTTATCATTTAAACATTTTCGATAATTTCTCTTTTTGTACACAATCCTTCTCTTTAATAGCTGCTGCAAATGCCTGTAACTCTTTTTCGACAGTATTGTATAGAGAAGGATCGATTTCAGCAACTTTCCTTAAATCACTAATAGCATTTTTTTCATCCCATGCACCAATGTATGCTTTACCTCTTCGATAAAGGGCCTTTATATTATCTGCAAATAAAAAGCAAACTTAATAGTATTTTAATGATATTATTTTTAGGTAATCTAATGTTGTCCTGTATTTATATGTATATACCTGGCTCTGTTTTCAAAACTGTTGTACAATGTTCAATAACAGAATAATACTCTTTATTTAACAGTTTACATTGTGCATAATTTAAAAGCAATGGTATCTTCATTTGATTCAAAATTAACCATTCTTCATCATTTGGTTTTTCACTAAAATCAAAATCAATTTATTTATTATATTATATAACTATGTTGTTTGTCTTATAGACTAATCTCTTTTAATTGTAATATATCTCTTCACAGGCAGAACTCACGCTAGCATGAGTTGTTCTAATATTCCAATAGCCTTTGCATATATTTCAGATGCATTGTCATATTTTTTTTCTCTGAATAAAGCATTTCCCTTTTCTTTCAGATGCGGAATACTTTCCAGTTTCTCATTCTCTGTCATTTGCCATGACTCTTTCTCGTACTCATTTGGCAATACCACTTTAATAAGTTCTGTAAAATAGAGTTACTTTAATCGATCCTGCTATTTCATAACATTTTAGGTTTGTTTAAAACTATTTTTTATATTGTAAAAGAAGAAAAATAAATATAGAAAATCATGAAAAGTACAAAAACTTTTGCATTAAGTTTTAATAAAGTACAATGTTTTATATTGGTACCTAACGTAAATTCCAGATCCTGAGGACATTTTATAAGTTCGTCCAAATCAGTATAACCAATGCCTTCATTTTGAAGAGTAACGCCACAGCAATGGTGATTACGTTTCTGCGATTGAGGCTTACCAGCCTCTCTTAATGTTTTAGAGACAAAAGGATATGTAGTCACTAGCTAAAACAGGATTCATCATAAAAGTACATTCTACATGCTAAATATAAAATTGTAACAATAAGTATTGCAAACATACACTTTTATGCACTTTGAAACAGGCAACTTCGTTCAATGCCATTTTTTGTATAATTACTTCCCATACTTCTAATTTAAATTTTTTTCCTAATATAAGTTCCATTGGATTTCCCATTGTTCTACTATCATCTATCATTGTTTTGTCAAAATCACATTTTGTAGTTCTAAAGTGAAATATAACCTGAAATAAAACTAATTATAAATAATTTCGTAACAGAGTTTATAAATAAAAATCTTGTATAATTTAAAGAAACAACAGAAACATATACCTTTGTTCCTGGTATAAAATTAATGATTTCTGATCCGGCATGAAGAACAGTTTTCACAATATACTCGTCATTCATGATAATCTATATATTTAAATTCTAAATAATAAATAATATTTAAGAAATAAAACATTTTATACTTAGTAGATACTTTCTAATTATTAAGTAACAAAATGTTATAACTATGCTCGCACATTGTATGTTATTACAGCAATTTTAATAGTACAATATTATGTGAGAAAACAGATTCATAACCTCAATAATTTATTTAAAGAACAATGTAAAAATTGTTCAATCTTGTCTTTAAAGTAAATAATGATATATTTTTTTAAATGATTTACAATATTATTGTTGTCATTATGTTATAATTACAATTATCAAGAAATACTATTATGCAAAACTTAACCCTGCGACACACGATGCTTGTTTTCCTGCAGAATTGACTGTGAAGCTGGCACTGACAGCATTGCAGCCAATATGATAGCAAGATTCTAATGCAGCTAGCAATCCAGCAGGAAATCATGCGTCGTGTGCCGCTGGCTTTACATACAAACTGTTATCAAATTTGACATACAAGGTTTGTTCGCGTCATACACTCCAGCAGTCTTCAATGTGCTCCTATTATAACTCCTAATCATTTCAAAGAGCGCGTTAGTAAATGCTATGGTAGGAACATTTTAGAGCATGTTAGAACATGCGACGTGAATAAATCTCACGGCAGATCCTTACTTAGCGTGCCACTATTGAGAATAATTGATAAAATCGAAATTTTATTCCTTTGCAATCCATCTTTCATATTTGGGCGAAATATTTTTGAATGCATTCGATTATGTATTTATGCGTACGGAATTTTTTGCCTTTTATTTTTTAATACTCGTTCCTGTTTTCATAAACGCACGAATTGATAACAGAATTACGTCATGGTTTATATGCCTGTTTCTACTATTATTTAATTTTAATCTTGGTCAATTTGCTCTTCATCCCTTTCTAATCCTAAGAATTAGAAAAAGATAAAGAACAAGATCAAAATTAATTAACATTGGTAGAAACGGGCATTAAACTTTTATCTTTTTACATTTCTGCAAAGAATTAAAATAGTTACAAGAATATTAAGGAATTCCATTCCCAAGGATGCACAATCGTTTTGAACATGATGACTGCTCTTTGATTAATCAAAACGTTGCCCCAATTTATAAGAAGGAACCTGATTGCTATATGAGCATTCCATTATCTTTTTTGGGGCAAGCATTTGATTGGTTGTTTTGATGTAATCTGTCACTATTAGTCGAGATTTACAGTAAGAAATTGACCAATTATAGTTTCGAATGCAAGGAGAATAATCGATTATGATTCGTCCATTCTTCTGGCTTAAGACTTAAAAATCTATTTATGTATAGATCCAGGCTTATGCATAATAGAATACCTTAATGCCCATACTTAAGGCCGGAATCAGACATATTGAAGAAAGATTGAAGATTAAAAAATTGAAGATTTGACCAATCAGAACAAAAAGAGGCAAAATTTCTTTATCCTCATTGATGAAATTTCAATCTTCAATGCATAGTCTGATTTCAGCCTAATATGCATTGAAGATTGAGGATTGAACGAATTAAAGATTAGAATTGGACCAATTTAATCAGGTAATTTTAATTTCAATCCGTTTTGTTCTAATTGGCCAAATTCTAAACCTCAATTCGCAACTAAAAACAGTTTTTTGATGTATTGTATTATAATCTCAAATAGTATAACAATAATAAAAATGATCATATCTTTATATAGATATTCTTTTTAAAATTTTATAATCGCTGTTCAAGTCACAAAATTATTAAAAAGAACTATTAAAAAGAAAATATATGTGTAGTTATTTACTTATTTATTGTGTATATATATATATATA